CTGCATATTATCCCCATTTGGGGTCTGCAGCAAATCTCTAAGTTTGCAACTTCAGAATTCATTGGTAAGCCACCAATGGGTAGTGTAAATTTCTGACAGATTTAAAACTAGCCTTCCTCTGAGCCTCATAACTGAAAACTTTTTTACTGTCTTGTTTTCTTACTTCCTCCATCCTTGGTAGATGGGAAAAAAGTTTTTTAAAAATCTGTACCTACCCACAAGAAGATGCCTGTCCTACCAGCTTAGTATATCTGCCATCAAAAGATATGGCTCAAGCGATTGTATGTTTGAATAATACCATTTTAATTGGACGCAATCATATGGTTTGCTCGGCAGAAATAGTCTTAAGTTTCCCAACAAGGTCAATCCAGTTTTTTTTCTTTCTCTTGGCAAAAATGCTTCTTTTTCTCCATCACATAGTTGGGAAGGACATTGGATCCCTCCCTTCCGCCCGCCCTCCCTCTGAATGCTTAAAGCAATCCTTGACTCCATGGTAGTCTGGCAAACAAATTGAGTTAACTGAGCTTGCTTCATTTTTATTCTGTAGAGAGGCATCCTGGGTTTAACAATCTTGCTTCATTAGAGACTCCCTCTCCCTCTTTGCCCTCGCCTTCCCAAACCTTTTTAAAAACGGTTCCTTTCCGGCTGCAGCTAAAATTAGGTTGGACCAAATCCTTTCAACCTCCCATTTTATTAATGGGGTCCGTCACAAGATGGCCTTCAAATAGGATTGAACAATTTTATGGAACAGCAATTTAACAGTCTCTCTATTTCTGATGCTCAGGCTGCCAAAGGCATTATTTATGCAACCAAACAAAATCAGAAGGAGGAGGGATAGATGCCTGCAGAAAAAAAAAGATATACTGGTAGAGGAAAATAAAACCTAAATAAGAGGATTCCTCCACTGTAATAGGCTAATGAGGACTGGGCATATGAATAACTCTATATTTCATTTATTTGTTTGTTTGTTCCTTAGAACGGCTTTTAAGTTTTCATTTCTGTTTCTGGATTTAATAGTTTGCATTCTTTAACTGCCTAGAGCCGTGGTGGCGAACCTATGGCACGCGTGCGACAGGCAGCACGCGGAGCCGTCTCTGGTGGCACACGAGCCATTGCTGAGCCGAGCTGCTCCCTCCTCCTCCCCGCGCATGTGCAGTTTGGGAATAGGCGAGAGGCTATAAAAGGAGCAACTTTCTGCGGAAGCAGCATTTGCTGCAGACAGCTTGAGAGCGAGCACGAGTCGGAGCGGACAGCGAGCGAGTGAGTGAGCATGAGCTGACAGCTCGGCGGCCACACCCACTCGGCGGCCATGCCCACCCGGCGATGCATAAGTGGGTTTTGGGTTGCAGTTTGGGCACTCGATCTCTAAAAGGTTCTCCATCGCTGGCCTAGAGTGTCAGTGGTCAGGTGTTTATAAATACTGTAAAATAAATAAAGTCTTTGTATTATTAATTAGATCCATATATATCACACCTTTCATTCCAGTGCCTTTCATTCAGCCTTCCATGTCCTACTTTTCCTAAAATAATATAAGTAACCCTGTGAGGTTATTTAGGTCTGGAGGGAAGGACTAACCAAAGAGTTGGAGGAAGGCCTAGTGAAGCTTCTTCTCCTTGAAAACTACAATAACAGAAAGCATATCCATCATGGGCAAAATGCTGTTCTATATTAAGAATGACAGGGAAAGAGATTTCTTAATGACACTTATAGGTCTAACACCTCTCAAGGGTACATGAATCTGGATTTGTGGGAATAGAGATGAGAGACCATACTGTGAATTGTTTTCCCTTGACCTCCTTTAAACAATTCTCTGTGGGTAAAAACGTATTATGCCAAGGACTGAAGGTTGCAATAGGTGTCCATTGGAGTTGATTGGTCTTTATTGCTCCAGGAGGAAAGTCAGTGTTTTGATTATGACATCACTCAATGGTCAATGTGATGTCACTGTTCTTAACCTTGGATTGCATTTGTATTCCTTGTAAGGCAGTGCAGCACATGTCTGATTTCAAGGTAAAAATTCATATTACAGGATAATAGCAGTTGTTCATTCACAACATCTGAATATCCAGCTGAGCATGTACTCAGCTCATTTAGTCATTGCTTTTCCACCATTATAAAATGGATTGTATTTCTACTTAAATAGTACTAGTTATGCAAAGGAAGGTAAATATGTCCCAGCATAACGTTGTAGGATCCAATATGAGTTGGTCACCATGATCAAAGGTTTATTCTTCCAAGCTTTTGCTGGAGCCCATCATCAGGGAACCTCTCTGCAGATTATGTGCACTGGGCTGTTCTATGGGTTGTGTTTATATGGTTCCTGGTTGTGTGTAGCTTTTAGTTGTTAATTAGGTGTTGATGACTGGCTAATGATGCTGCAGAAGTAGTTATTTCTGAATTAGTCTGTGGGCACATAAATTCAGTATATAGAAATTTGAGGCAAACCCGTGCCTTTTATCCCTTTGGAGAGAAGATGCATTTCTTCTTTTCTACATGCCAAAACAACTAGACACAATGACAGCTTTTTCCCTCATGCCATCACTAGGCTGAACACTTAATTACCACAATACTGTCGTATGTCTAAGGATATTTACCCATATAGTATGGCTGTATTACTATTACCCTTCTCATATTTTCTACTACCTTCTCCTATTGGTACCTTGTGATTATAATACTTTGTTGTTTGTATGTACAGTGAGAGCTTATGCACCGGAGACAAATTCCTTGTGTGTCCAATCACACTTGGCCAATAAAGTATTTTATTCTTTCCTATTCCTATTCCTATTCTCAGGGCTTTTTTTCTCATAGAATGCCCAGAACAGAGTTCTGGCACCTTTTTTGGATGGAACCTTGTAGGGTAGACAAGGCAGATTGTATGACATGTGTGAGTTCTGGTGCTATTCCTATTCCTATTCCTATTCCTATTCTAACCTAGGGCCTAAACTGAAACTAATGTCTCCAACTTCACTATGACTGCCCTGCTACTTTTCTAGCACTGTATTGTAACAAAAGGGTCATCCTAGTTAGAAGGACATCTAGAATGATCTCCAGGAAGTGTTGCCCTTCACCCAGTTCCACCTTTCTCAGTTTTTCAGAAGTTCATGACTTAGGGAAAGGATGAGATCATCCCATTGGAATGAAAACAAACCAGCCAACTGTTAGATTCATTTGTAGATTCCTGATTGTTTTCTCCTCCTCCTCCTTTCCAGGCTACTTGTGGGAATTCTGCCCTCCTTTGCAACAAGAGGGATTGTTTTGCCATAGGCTTTCCTCAGTAGTCTGTAACGATGAGACTTGTCTGAGAACCTGATTGAAGAAGTCCATGAAAGTATGGACTTTCATTGAAAGTATGGACTGAAAGAATGGCAGAAAAGATTATTGGCAGTTCCCTCCCTTCCATCCAGGACATAGCACATAAGTGTTGCTTGAGCAAGGTCCGCAAGATTGTCTGAGACATTACACTTCCTCTTCTTGATCTGTTTTCCTTGTTACCATCTGGGAGGAGGCTTCGTGGTATCCTAAGCAGAACATCCAGATTCAGCAGCGGTTTTGTTCAATACAGCAGAGGTCTCCAACCTTTTGGGCACCAGGGACCGGTTCCATGGAGAGAGGTTTTTTCCGTGGACCGGAGGGGGCGTGGTTTTGTGTGTTGCCTGCATCCCACAGATGGGGCTTTGCTTGTTTGTGCGAACTGGTTGCTGGCATGCCGCGGCCCGTTACAGGTCCACGGACCGGGGGTTGGGGACCCCTGCCATACAGTATTAACCTTGTAAATTCTCAAGCCTCCTCTTTTCGCTATGTATTCAAGATGGACAGTGCATATATATATAAATACATATTTATATGTATTTATATGTAAGGGTGTAGGTTTATACATATGTTGTATATATCATGTTTAAATGTGTGTTATGTATGTGTACACTTTTGAGAGCAAGCAACAAAATTCCATTTTTAATGTGTGCCAATGTGCCCACAATAAAAAATGACAATAAAGGTTGTCTGTCTGTCTGTCTGTCTGTCTGTCTGTCTGTCTATCTATCTATCTATCTATCTATCTATCTATCTATCTATCTATCTATCTATCTATCTATCTATCTATCTATCTATCTATCTAGTAGCAAGGAGTTGTTTATTTTTCCTTTTTAATGCATGTTCTTGCTTTTGAACAAAAATCTTGTGCAACAGGAAGTCTGTTTGGGGGCCAGGAGATAGTTGCAGGAGAATGGCAATGAGGTGGTGGGGGAGAAGGAAGAAGAGGAACAATTGAATTCAAGCAGAGCAATCATTGCAAAATGGCTTGAAATCCTGAAGTGTGATTTTGCACATGGATTTTCTGCATCTTGAAGAGAGAGCTGCTTCTTCATTATAGGCCACAATTCCAGGGGGCTAAGCATTGGCTGTAATGGAGACTTGCCAAGACAGTCCAGGTGGTCTTTGTGTTAATTTTTTATTATTTTAGCCTGGTGGTGGGTGCAGTTCATTTACTCTCTCTCAGTGAAGGTGAGAGAAAGAAGTAATAACCTCTATCAATGACATATCCCTACTTTTCTCTCTGTAGAATAGTGGTATGCAACTTTTTTTCCCCCAGGCCCCCTCTCTTAGCAAGTAGTCAACAGGTAGACTATATTATAAGAAATCACCAAGAGAAAATGAAATTTCAGTTAAAAGTAAATTTATGTGAAATTAATGAAACCTAGCTAATATAATTATTATATTAAATTAAGTTTTAATGAAGTTCTTGTAGCATGTTTTTAAATTGCAATTTGGTAGCAGTTTTGGAGAATGCCTTTGGGCAGAGTCAAGACTGGGGGCAGACTGTGTAGGGGAAAATATTTTCACCTCTGAATTCCAGCAAGCAAATGCTTGAATTGAATTGAGCTCTGTAACAGGGCAGTGTATAACATTTGGAGACTGTCTGGTTATTCTGTTGTGGTTTTTGATGTCCAGTCAGCACAAGACTCATCTAACCTTTGGTTGATTCTTGTTGACTTCAGGCAATCATGGCACTGCTGGGGAAGCTTTCCGATGGGCCTCTTAACAACTGCAGACCTGACCAATGGCACTTGGTGTTCTCTCAAAAAGATGAAGTTATCACCAGCTTAGTATCAGCATTAGACTCTATGGTAAGTTTTTGGTGAATTGTATGTTTGCAACAAACTTGTATTTTCAGTGGATTTAGTTGGGGACCAAGATACCTCTGTTAGTCAGTAGAGAACCAATGTTGTGTTTTGGTTAAGACTTTGGACTAAGTCTTGGGAGATCCAAAATTACATTTATTCTCATCCAGAGGAGTTCACTGGGTTATTTGGGGTCAATAGTTTCTCTCAAGTCATGCAAGCCAGCTTGAGATCCTAGAGAAAAGGCCAGATATAAGCAAAATACAAATTAATTATAAGTGGCACCAAGGATTTTGAAAACATGTATGGTTTTTTTTAAAGTTGGGGATAAATAGATTACCTCTTTGCAAAATGTTTGCTTTGGGGAGTAGAGCAGATCAAAAAACATCCATTTACTATATGATATACCATATTATAATTACTGTCATCATCTTCCCTGAGGATGAGTGCAGAGCAGTGTACCTCAAAAAAGTAGTAAAAACAAAGGCTGTATTAAAAATATTTAGCTAAAATAACTCGCAATGAATCCATCATCAGGAATAATACCAATTTATTTAAAAAGTTCTTTAATAAAGATTGTTCTTGGCAGGCCGGTCTTGAAGCTCTAGAGAAGCTTGGGTGAACAAACATGGCTTCCTCACCACTCCACGTTTTTTCTCTCTCCCAGTTCAGCTTACTTCTGTCTTCTTTTCTGGGCACAGGGGCGTATTTCCAAGTCCCCCTCCTATTTTATTTTCAAAGATTGTCTATAGCAGGGGTCCTCAACCTTGGCAACTTTAAGACTTTGGACTTCAACTCCCAGAATTCCTCAGCCAGCTTTGCTGTATCTGTATCTGTAGCTAAAAAAATCAATCCATAAAAACACATATTGCGATTTCTGTTAACCTTCATGTCTGCATATAATGTTTCAGATGTCCTTGTTTTAGCAACTATGGTGTTTGCTTATCTCCACCCTAAAAGACAAAAGTTTTATTTTCTATTATGAAAGAATAATTTCCTTTTTTTAAATCCTAATTTCCCATCCCCTATTTTCTTAGGTTTTTTAATTCCCTGCAGAAATGTTACATAAGTTAACCTTTCTCCCCCTGTGAATAAGATACATACCTCGCACAGTTTAATCTTTAATGTGGAAGAGAGAGATATGGAGTATATATATGCATAAATTTGCAGCCGACTAAAATAAAAAAAAGTACTGAATAAAGCCTAATCCAGAAGAATAGACTGAACATTCAAAATTGTTTGGAACTGACTGAAATGGTTTGACTTGTCAAACTCTCCTAAACCCATGGACAGTAGGAGACAATTCTGTGCTGAGCTATAGTTAATAGTTTATATAATAATAGTTAACAGTTCTATTATACTAGTTAATAGTCCTTGGAACAGACATCTTCCCACCTGTATTTTATAAAGTTGATTGCATATAGAAAATGCTGTATTTTGGAAGAAAGGCAGTACAGGTAGTCCTCAAATTAGGACTGGTCGTTTAGCGACTTATGATTGTAATAGGCAGGCTCCATTATAGTCTTAACTCAAGGACTACCTATATATCAAAGTAATTAATAAAAACAGATGGACTTTACCAGTCTAAATACAGGTAAGTCATAACTTCAGACAGTCGCTAAGTGACCAGTCCTAATTTGAGGACTACCTGTACTGCCTTTCTTCCAAAATATTATTCATGGTCCTTTGCATCCTCATTTCATTCTCCTCATACAATCTCTGTGAAGTAAATTAAATTGACAGATTCTGAATCAGAGACTTCCAAGGTCGAATTGGTCCTGCTACAAACTCCAAATCCAATGCTGTTCATGACTGAGTATGGACCACTTAGAGTCATAGAATATGAAACTTGGAAGGTTCCTTAGAGATCATCTAGTCCAGGGGTAGGCAATCTTGGCTCTTTTATGACTCGTGGACTGGCTCAGGAATTCTGGGAGTTGAAGTCCACGAGTCATAAAAGAGCCAAGGTTGCCTACCCCTGATCTAGTCCAAGTCTTTATTCAGCAAAAGAATCCAATATTATTATATGTCATGTCAGACAAATGCCATCCATCCAGCCTTTGTTTAAACAATGAAAGAGAATACATCACTTTTTGAAACAGTCTATTCTGCTGTTAAAGAGCTTTTATTCAGATTTTTTTCTCTTGATGTCCAACTGCAGTCTACTTCCTTACAGTTAAGCCCACACAGTACTTTGTTGTCCTGCCTTCTGGAATGCTCTGCCTTGTCTCCTACAGGCCTTCAGATACTTGAAGAGAGCTGTCATGTCTCCCCACATTCTTCTCTTCTTCAGGTTAAACACTTCCATTACTTCCAATTGTTTGTCCAATCCTCTTATCATCCTGGTTTCTCTGCCCTGGATGCATTCCAGGTTTTCAATACTGTTCCTAAAATCTGATGCCCACAAATGGACACAATGTTATGGGTGTGGTCTGTCCAGTGCAATAGAAAGAGGGATAATGACTTTTCTTAGTAGAATAGAATTCTTTATTGGCCAAGTGTGATTGCACACACAAGGAATTTGTCTCCGGTGCATAAGTTCTCAGTGTACATACATACATACAACAACAAAGTGATAGGTCATAGATCATAAATTATAAATTATACAATCATTTATTATAAGATACAAGCAACAAGTGATAAATCATAAGATTCCAATAGGAGAAGATAGTAGAGAAGATGAGAAGAAGATGAGAAAGATAATAGCAATATAGCCTACTACATGGGTAAATCTTGACTGTATACCCTTGATAGAGCCTAGGATAGCATTTGCTTTCTTTGCAACTTCATCACATTGTTGATTCATGTTCAGTAATGATCCATTAAGACATCCAGATGCTTTTCACATGCAGTTTTGCTTATTATGGCATTCCCCCAGAATGGTTTGCTGCTCCCATTCTACACTCTTGCTTTTGAGTAGGACTTAATCTCTATTGAAATTCCTCTTGCTGATTCTTGCTCAAGAGTTCCTGCTTGTCAAGCTGTTTTTGAATCTTGATAGAGGAACTATCCTCTAAGATGTTTGCTAACCTGCCTATCTCTCCTGATTCTAGTCCAATTTCAAAGTGTTATGCAAACAGTATAGTCTCTAGACTGGGCAGATTTACAAGACTCCTTAGAGAAATAATGGTAATTTAGTGACAAGAGTTTACATCTTGCATACAAAACAGCCTAGGTTCAATTTTCAGTATCTTTAGCTATGACTAAGATTAATTAGTCTAATTAAACAATTAAACATTGTAATCATTACAACAGAGTGCTGAATTTGAAACCTGGCTAAAATTATGTTGAGAAGATCAAATAAATACATTTAAAGTGGTCTTCACTGAGCCAGTGGTTGGGTTCACATGTTGTGCTAAGATTTAACCATGATTTACTGAATGAATTGTAATTATCTTGCTTTTTTTGTGCATTAGAACCATTATATTAGTCACAGTCATTAAGTTTACACAGCATGTTAAACCAAACCAAAACAACATTATGGCTTACCTTGATATGTGATTCAACTTCCTCATTTTAGAGATTGCATCAAACTAGGTTTTATGGCAGCATAATTTAGAACTCAAAGTGTTTCCAACTGCTTCAGCAAATAATAGTTTTTAACCAATTTGTCTGCTTCTGTTTCAGCCATCAGCATCTGTAAATCTGGTACAGGGCACTCCAAAGTCAGAGCAGTGGACAATTTAATCTTATTAATTTGAATGTCAAAGCAAACTACAATATTTTTGGCAGACACTACTGTGGTTTGCAAGCTCATCTAAAAATAATGGTTAACAAAATGGTATTCTCGTGGCATAGATTGAGAATGCTCTATGACATTTAGAGACATTGACCTGCCCTCAAAAGCAAGCTTAAATTATTGTTTAAATAATAAAAATAATATAAAACAACTAATTTTGAAAGGCTTATGTTTAAAATGGTGTCCTTAATGGCTTGTATGAAGAGGGCATATAAGAAATGAGTTCTGATATTTAGCTAATTTATTCATAACCGAGAATGATACCATTAAACATTTCTCGCTATCAGCTTTTAAAAAGTGGGAAGGCAAATTCTGCACAAAATACTGCAAGCACCAGAACTTTGGATTTAAATACATAGATTAGCAAATAGCGGAGCTCTTACGCCTCACCCCCATAGCCAACTCTAGAGAACATGGCTGCTGTATTTTGAAATAAGTGCAGTCTTCCTGGGCCACCCCACATAGTGTCATTCCAGTAGCCCAACTGGAATACATAGTGGAATACATAGGAATACACTGTTTTAAAACCATTGTTAAAATATACTTAATGACACTGGAAAAAAGGCAAGCTAAAAATAAATTGAAATACCAACTCTTCCTTTTTCTGTTCCTTCTCCTTCCCCAGTGCTCAGCTCTTTCTAAACTCAACACGGAGGTTGCCTGTGTTGCTGTCCACGATGAAAATACTTTTGTAGTTGGAACAGAAAAGGGGAGGCTGTTCATGAACACAAGGAAGGAGGTCCAGGCAGATTTCAAAAAGTTCTGCAGTAAGTATTCGGGTTGCCTTGGTAAAACCAGCAATTATGTAACCGTATGCCAAATTTAATGTCAGCATCTGATGCATGTCAGGTTTAATTGCTTGATTCCTGTCATTGACTTGTCTGATGGTTGTCCACTTAAACCTGGATCTGCTTGATCAGGGGTGACTATATTTCAGGTTTGTGGGAGTTTTATGTTTTATTAACTAGTTCGGTTTTTACCTATTTTGACCAAATGTGTTATCTAAACACTGATTAGGCTTGCACAACATGCTGTGCCATGAAGAGAACTGGAACTGACTTAATGTAGCATATTATGCAAGGCTTTTAACTGACTTGGTTAAATATATTATGCAAATCAGCTATTCAGTCTGACATGCCCAATAGGGTTGGATTACCGCATCCATTGATCTCATCCAGCAGAATTGTTCGGACTGAAAACTGGAGGCACCAATGTGGGGAAAGTAGGTGGGCCTGTGTCAAATTCCCACAAATTCCCACAAATCATATCATTTGCTCAGTGAATGGTCAAGGCACTCAGTGCAAGCTGCCATGATGTCATGTGCACATGTAATTACTTGCTCCTCCTTGTGGGAACTCATGCATGTGAGCCCAACCCTTGACTACAAGCAGGAGAGGGGAAGTTATATACCTGGCAGTCAGAATTAGCACTCTTCAAACCTTAAAGTCAAAGATCTGAAGTGGAAGCTTGCATGAGTTTCCTTGTCCAATTTAGCAGCAACTTCTGAGGTCCTAGAGAATACACAGGCAGCCACAGCCAATGGAAAGCAATAAAAAAAACCCACAGAGATGTTGCAGCTGCCAAAAAAGCCAACACAGTGCTAGACTGCATTAACAGAGGGATAGAATCAAGATCACGTGAAGTGTTAATACCACTTTATAATGCCTTGGTAAGGCCACACTGCATCCAGTTTTGGTCACCACGATGTAGAGAAGATGTTGAGACTCTAGAAAGAGTGCAGAGAAGAGCAACAAAGATGATTAGGGAACTGGAGGCTAAAACATATAAGGAACAGTTGCTGGAATTGGGTATGTCTAGTTTAATGAAGAGAAGGACGAGGGGTGACATGATAGCAGTGTTCCAATATCTCAGGGGCTGCCACAAAGAACAGAGAGTCAAGCTATTCTCCAAAGCACCTGAAGGCAGGATAAGAAGCAATGGATGGAAACTAACCAAAGAGAGAAGCAACCTAGAACTAAGGTGGAATTTCCCAACAGTTAGAACAATTAATCAGTGGAACAACCTGCCTCCAGAAGCTGTGAATGCTCTAACACTGGAAGTTTTTAAGAAGAGACTGGACAGCCATTTATCTGAAATGGTATAGGGCAGTGATAGCGAACCTATGGCAATAATAATGTTGTGAAGAAACAGTTATATTTTAAATGCTTCCATGGCTGTTATGTGTCTGATATTGTTACTGTTGTTTCTCATTTATATCTCTCTACTTAATCACATCTGTTCTTTTAATACTGTAGATCTAGATAGCTAGAATAGCCTTTGCATTCCTTGGCCTCATGAAAATTAGATTTTTGAGGTCATTCAGTGAATGTATTGTCCTGGTTGTTTGGAGAATCTTGTTATTAATTCATGATGTAATTAATTAGTTCATTTAACATACTTGATTGGGGATGTAACTGTATTTTCCAGGTAGATTTATGTCCTCCTGTCTACTTATATCACTGTATGTCAGTTAGAATTGTTTGATGAGACAGCATAGAAATTATGAATCTTCGAGAAATAAGGTGGTAAAGAAATATTGATGATGATTATGTGTCATCATGCCACTGTTGATTCTTTGCAACCACATAGAGAGCATTTTAGACTTCACAGTAGAATTCGGTCTTTCCATTATGTGTCATAAGATAATATGATAATTTCATCTTCGTAATTTGTGTATTGAGTAAGAGCACTGGGTTGATTTGTTCTATGATACATTCATTTGTTTTCTTGGTTACCTGTGTTAATCTTAAAAGACTTTGTAGATAATAAATGAATGAATGGAGGGATGGACAAATGAACAGATAAGTAAAGATAAATTATAGTTTGAGTTTTAAATTAAAACTATGAGAGACATAATTCATAATAATGCCTAGAGTAGTTTGTATAGTAATAGATGGTATCTATCTCCCCTTTAGACTATAAGACCAGTGCTTTTAAAATAAAAGGAAGTTGAAAATCCTAGACAATAAATCACACAACTAAGCAAATTTTTATAGGTTTTTTTTAAAACAATGTTCCTATTTTATTATGAAATAGTAGGTTTTATATTTAATTATATTTTTCTTGTGGAATTTGTTACTACATTTTATGTACTTTTATGTAATTTTTAGTGTACCTTTGTGCTCTGTTTAATCTTAGACAAATTCAAAATAATAATAGATCATCATGATACTGTTGATGGCAGTCACTGCTATAACAGTATAATAGGGGACAAGCAGAAAGATAGTAATATACTTCAAGAAAGTGTTTATATCATCTGCATGGATGCACCAATATATAGATCTCTGAATCCAAAGATGCATGGTTTCCCATGACTTATGACGTCCCTAAGAAGCAGGTTCTATATCCCTAAATACAGCCTCTCAGATTTTTCCAGATTGCAGAGTTGGTGCTTTCTACCCATCCAAGAATCAACAGAAAACCATATTGGCATGATTTTTATAGTGCTTGTTGCCAGTCCTTAGACTGCCTGTCTTATCTCTGTTTGAAGCAGCTACAGTCACCTGCCTTTCTTCAAGGTAACGGTTGACAAAACCTATAGATGAATAGGAAGGCCTAAATGGTCTGGCTGCAGAGAGATCATCCTGGAGAAAATCTATCTATGATAGCTGGTCATGTTTGTGTCTTGGTTTGGAAAAAGCCTTGAACTACAACTCCCACTATGTCTCATTATTGAGCTCCATTAGCTGAGGCTCCTGGATATTGTAGTTCAGCAGTATCTAAAGAGTCAAAGTTCCCCTGCTTGCTTTAAGGGGAAAACAATGGAGAAAACCAAACTGTAAATTAATTGGTAGGCAGATTCCAAAGAATGAAATGATGGGGATGGGATTGCTAATAGGCTTGGTAGTGATGTCATAGGGCAGTGATGGCGAACCTTTTAGAGACCGAGTGCCCAAACTGCAACCCAAAACCCACTTATTTATCGCAAAGTGCCAGGGCTGCATCAGTATTGTGGTGCCCTCGGGGGGGGGGGTATGGGGGGCATAGCCCACTGGGTGGGCGTGGCTGCAGTGGTCACGGCAGACTGGGTGAGCGTGGCTGGGGCCAGTCCCTCACCATCTCTGGGGCATCCCCGGGTGGTCTATGCCACTTGCTCGCTCACTTCCTGCCCTGTCGCTTCCAAACGCCACATGCTCACTACTCTGGTGAACTCTGCTGGGGCAACGGCGCAGGTGTCCACAGAGAGGGCTCTGAGTGCCGCCTCTGGCACGTGTGCCATAGATTCACCACCACTGTCATAGGGTATCATCCAATCTCATAGAGTATCAAATAGGGGGTTCTGTGTTTTGCATATGTCTATCATAAATACAACTCTGCTCTAAAACTGAAGAATTAACTAATAATAACACAGCATCTCCTTTTCTCTCTATCTCCTGCTATGTCCCTGCCGGCAGAAGTCCAGCAGAGCAAAGAGCATGATCTGGACGGCCAGAAGAAGGCAAAAGATTTTGGTCGGACAATTCCTCGGATCTCCCCAGATCAGGGATCAGATGTTTATCTCCTCAGGAAGATGGTAGAAGAAGTCTTTGATGTGCTTTATAGTAAGGAATAGCCTTGATTTCCCTTGGGAATTTGGTTTGCCAAGTGGTTTTGGGGACCTTTTGGCCAATTCCTTACTTGTATGGCTGGGAGGATGGAAGATCCAAAGGGTTGGATTTAACAGATGGGAAACTGACAAGCCATTAGGCTGGGAAATAGTGGTTGTTTCCTCTTTAGGAAAGTAATTCCTTTAAGGCACGGTGATGACATCTTAACCTTTATTCAAAGAATGAGTGAATGAACTAGGCCAAAGTCAGAAGGCTTTATGGAAGGATGGGAAACATCCAAACCTCTGGATATAGTTGAATTACAAATCCAAATATCCCTACTGTTGAGTGTACTTAGATGGCTAGAAGTTAAACGTGCTACCTGAGAGTCCTGGGTGTTAGATTTTGTATTCACCTGAAGGCCACAGGTTAGGAAAGCTGGTGTAGAAAGTAAGACAGCTACGAATGTTCCAACTTTGAGATCTTAGTGCCCTATATAGCAGCTTCATCATTAAGTATTCCTATTACTGCTACCACTCTTATTCCAATTATTTGTTTTTACTGCTAGTATTTTTGCAGTTGAGTGGTTTTATGCCAGCCATCTAGGCATGCTGCACACCACCCAGAGTCACATTGTTTGCATTAGGTGGCCTTATCAATTCCATAAATAAATAATCTCATAAATAAATAATGCCACAAATAAATAAATAAATAAATAAATACATAAATGTTATTTTCTGAACAATCCATTTGATTGTTTTTCATTTCCTTTCTCTGTTGCCCACCCTCACTGACTGTAAACATTTGTTGTGTGTTTTGCCCTGTTTTTAGAAGTGAGGGGTATACTTCTCCAAAACTTAGTGAGTCCCCAAAATTTCTGCTCTCTCTCTCTCTCCTTGTCTATAGACAATGCCATTTTTATTGCATACACGTCCATATTTGGAGGTCTGATTGGTACCAACTTTGGTTGCAGCATAAAATCTTTACTTGCCATTGGCATCTCTGCCTAAGTTTTGCTGCAGAGAATATATGCCTAAATCCACCGCAGTGTTTCTCAACTTCACCAACTTTAAACTGTGGAGACTTTAATTCCAAGAATTCTCCAGCTAACAAGCTGGCTGGGGAATTCTGGGAGTTGAAGTCCACATAACTTAAAGTTGAGAAGGTCGAGTAACACTAATCTAGAGGAATGGAGAGCATTATAAAGCACCGTTTCCCAACTTGAGTGTCCTCCAGATATGTGGACTTCAAATCCCAGAATTCTTAGCAATGGTAGTGCTGGCTGGGAAATTTTTGGATTCAAAATGGATGCATCGGGAGATTTGGGGAAGGCTCTTACAAACATTTGATATGCTCCCTTTTGGGTAGCACAGCCCAATTTCTTTTCCATGACAGCAGCACAATGTGACAGACAGAACCAAGGGATACCTTGTGGCCAACACCTATTTGTATGTTTTTCAAAGTTTATTGTTCTTCCACATTGTCCAGGTGAGGCCTTGGGGAAGAGCAGTGTGATTCCACTGCCATATGAGAAGTTCTTGAAAGAGCCTGGCTGGTTAACGGTGGTTGGGTTACCCGATGGACTCACGTTCAGGAAACCCATTGAATACGATGCAAAGTCCCTGATGGCCATATTAGAGCATAGCCACAACATGCGTTTCAGGATAAAAAGGTAAGATTGAGGTGTTTGGGATTTTTTTTCTTTTGGACTCCCTTGTATTTGGTCAGTTGCTTCATGTTGATCATTTTGGTTGTGCTAATCCATGATAGGCAAATAAAAAGTACTGCCTTGTAAAGACTGCACTCAGGGTTACCATCACCATGTCAGAGCATGCAGTCTTATCGTGCTGAGATAACCCAGGAGTAAACACAGTAAACAGTGGTCTATATTAAATGGTGGTTTATCTTTCACTATCTACAATATCATGCACCAGGAACAATATACACACACATGTTAATATAGCAATCTCCAACACACAGCAGTTACAGCAGGAAATGGACGAGAAAGAGACACGCCAGCAAAAGCCTTCCCTTTTATACTCAGGCTCATAAAGAGAAACAGACCCTGCTGAGTCATTCCTATCATTGCATCATCCACCTTATATTCCATTACATCATTACATAAGCTGTTTAGCTATTAAACTGTTACCTTGACACCTTTCTGCCCTGTTTTGGTGCAATTGTGATGATAGAATTAGAACTTCCAGCTTCTATTTTTCTGTGGGTCAAATCCCTGTCAGACAACAGGTCTAAACTGCAATTCAGACATGTTGTCTGACATGGATTTGACCCACATGTTAAAACTGATTTTTTTGTTTTCAAGAGCTAAGATGTAATCTGAGGGTGGGCTTTATTTCTGTTAATCTCTTTTCATGATCAAACACTCTTTGGTTTCAATGGATTTAACTGGTACCATCGATCCCCAAAAAGAGGAAGGACCTCTTTGATCTGTCTGTTCTGGACCTTGTTCAATTTTAAAAGAGTATTTGGGGAATTTCTGCATTGTGGCTCTGCTGGAGGGAAAGGAATGGGAGCCAGTTGTATTTCTTAATATCACATCATTAATCATGATATAAAAGTGTAATTAGGGTTAATGATGTAGTTTTCATATTACTTATCTTTTATGCAGTTCAGGACTCTAGTCCAACAAACACTGTCTCAGTGAAAGCAGTCAGTAGCAATTCATATGAACCCGGAAAATTGGGCTTATGGAGTAGAGGTAGTCCTTGACTTACAGCCATTTGTTTAGTATCCATTTAAAATTACAATGACACTGAAAAAAGTGACTTATGACTGTGTTTACAGTTATGACCATTGCAGCATCCCCATGGTCATGAGCACAAAATTCAGACACAGCGCGATGTGCCGTGTGGCCTCCTGCTGCGAGCAGCCGCAGCAGAATTGGACCGGCAGCCACATGGGCTGGTGAATGGGGTTGTTGGTGCCCCCGCGGCGAGGTGAGGCACGTGTCATGAAAAATATAAGACACCCCCAAAATTAAGACCTAATGCCTCTTTTGGAAGCAAAAATAATATAAGACAGGGTCTTTTTTGGGGGGAAACACGGTAGATATACACTGACAAAATGTATTGAGTGTTCTTGAGTGATTGAGGCCAGCCATTGGCTGACCCTGACTGGGAAGGGATCAGGAAAGATGCTGATGAAGTAGGGATCAGCAGTTCCAGGCTAGAGAGATCTAATATGTCAGCATAGATTAGGTGCCTTTCAAAGCCATCAGCAGAGCAGCCAGGTATCCATTGATTTGGAAAGATGGGAGGGAAAAGCCTACAATTTAAACCCTGGAGTTTAAACCTATATATAGGCTTTGACCTCTGCGTATTGCAGTAGGCAAATCTCCTGTCTTCATTCCTGTCAGCAATAAACTAATCTTGCCAAGTCATAGCCATGAGCCTCTGCTGAGAAAAGCAAGTCTGAATAAGGAGTTAAGTATCTGGAGAACTGAGATTTATAGCCATGGCTGATGAAAAGCCTGACAGAAGGGCTATAAATACTTCCTATTTAGGATGGAACTTTGCCTAGTGAGCAACTGGATTGAGATTTCATGGCTTCAGTGCTACCTAGAAGAAGGAACTATAGTGCTTTCTTTTCTGTCTTCGCTCCCTTTCTTCCTTGTTTTTGCTGTCCTTCATCATTTTAACATTCCCTAGTAATTTCATTTGCTGTCATTCACCTCTTGTTTCCTTTGCACCAGGAAATAAGGTGATAAAGTAAATGGGTTGAAAGATGCTAATCCAGCCAGTTTCTTTTGTATATTCAGCAAAGTGTATTTTTTCCAATTTTTTCTCTTGGTCTGTCATTTATAGTTTAAATTTCAATGCTTTCTCTGTCTTCCACATCTGTCATTCCTTCATTAACATCTTTTAGACATTGTAATTGTAATTTGAGGTATGTGTATATATATATGCTCTCTCTCTCTCTCTCTCTCTCTCTCTCTCTCTCTCTCTCTCTCTCTCTCTCTCTCTCTCTCCACACACACACACACACACACGCACATAGTATATACTGTATATATGCTATATATGTTTATTATACAGGCAGAGAGCGTGTTGCTAGTCCAGATTGTGGGTGTGAGAGAGTTAAGTTGAAGGTCTTCTTCTTTAAGAAGATAAGAAGAGCTCAGCTAGATAAAGCCAAAACTCCACCCAGACCAGGATTTTGCTTTCTTAGAGTGGCCAACCAACTACCTCTTGGAAGTTCATAAGCAGGACAGGAAGACAGTTTTATTATATGTCTTTAGCAATTGACTGATGCTCAACAACCCATCTCTGAATTTACAGCATGCTTCCAATATTTTGAGCCTCATTGTTGTATTAAATAGTTCATTCTACCAACTTAGAATAAACATGAAATCATGTGCGGTTTCCTCTTGTTCTTAGGCCACCAGAGGACTCTATCAGGGATCCCAACCCTTCGGTTGAGATGAACTCTTCTGCTCTCCTCTCCAAGGGGAACCGAGAGCCGGGCCTTAATAACGTGCGTGTTAAGCAGGCCAATCAAGACACTCTTCCTGGAATCACCAGCAGCAGTTTCCTGTATGGCGTGTCGCTGCCCACACAGATTGCCATGGAGATAAAGCAGGAAGGTTCAGCCAGTCGGCATGGGATGAATGCAGTCGGCGAGATGCTGAGGCCCCGTCCATCAGGAGAAGCGAAGGTGCCTTCGCCACAGGAGTTCGGTGACTGCTGTGGTAATGGCCTTCATGTTTGCTGACCCAGGAATGGCTGCCCAAAACTGGTGCAAAGATGTTGGTGTAGCCTTGAAGTAAAATAGGGTGGGAATAGGAATTGTGTAATGATGGCTTTGACTGGATTACTGATGATGGTTTTGACAAGGCCATCCTTATGTAGGAAGGGACAGTAGTATTTAGTCAACTAGGTATGATTCCTGGAGGCTGGATGTGGTTAAGACCATAGTTGGGTTTTTAT